ACCTAATTGATTTTCCACATTAACTACTTCTCCATGTTCAGTCCATATCTAATAATCATGTTTAAATTTAAATTTATATAGATCATACCTAATTGAATCAATATCCAAAATCTTTCTACTCTTGCACTTAGAACATGGACACCTAACTTTTTAGTCAATAATGAATTGCTGCGAATTACAACAGACACGTATGAATTCCACAACACTCTCATAGAATTCGAGTTTTATTTTGCCCCCCCCCCCCCGACATGGGTGCAACATATCATACATCTATGAAAGATTTACAAGAAACATTTGGAGCAAGAACTTTATAAACCTAATACAAGTAAACAATACTTTATCAATCTTTTATTTTATATTACACGAAATTCTAATATAAATTTTGGTAAAATCTCTCCTAATATATAAACATTCCTTATGTATGTTAACACCTAATACAAAAATCTAAATTTCTTTCACACATAATCTATATATTATATAAATATATATTAATCAATGCATCAAAAAATGTATATATCACAATCCTAAACCGTTCTAGAGCGCATCCCTTTCTAACTCTACAACATGAATATTCTACAATCCCCATAAGAACAAACAATAGTTTACGGAAAGACCTTTATGCTTATTCTCTCAATAATACAATCTCCAGTCTTATAACTCTATCTTAGAAATTATAAGTCTTTATTATACATCGAGAATTAAAAAACTAAACCGATTAAAAGTTAAAGTATTGTACTAGGAACACAATGATGTAAATTGTTTTCTAAACGAATGCTCTAACCCGCGAAGGCCAAAAAACTAACGATGCTAGAAAGAGACAAAGAAAGGGAGATGAGAGAGAGAAAAAATTATAAAAATTAGGAAGAAGAAGAAGGAGGCACATTTTGATGTGTTTTGCATATTACTTATAGATTTTTCTGTCTATAAATGGTTTAATGAAATAAAGTGTTTTTCATGTTCACTTACAAATGAATCAATCCGTCTGTAAATCTACCAAAGGCAATTACATACGAAAAAATTTGTCTATAACAAGCTATATGAAAAGTCAGTAAAAAAATTCTAAAATACAGACGGATTTTTCTATCTATAAATCCACCAAAAGTAGTCATAGATAGAAAAAGTCTTCTTTAACGAGCTATATGAAAAATCAATAAAAATCTTTCAAATTACAGACAAAAATTTGTGTCTGTAAATTATGTCTGTAATGTTTCATGCTAAATGGCGAGCCAATTACAAACAAATTTTTTCGGTCTGTAATACAAATAGATTTACTGACAGTTTTCTTTAAAAATAAAATAAAATAAACAGATTTACCATCTATAATACAAACGAAAAAAATTCTTTTGTAAATTCTGTCTATATTAAGCGTGTTTCTAGTAGTGAATGAGTGATGCGTTACAAAAGAAGTATCCATAATATACTAATAATAATTGTAATTATTATTATTATTATACAAAATGGTTGAACTATGTCTAGTATAGGTAAGAGGCAAAAAGCATATTGGTCAAGTTACTACCAATGGGGATAGTATGGTACCTGAGAACTAGCAAGAGACCAGGACTAGCTACTATGTGTCGCAATAAGGGAATAATGTTGGGCTATCTTGATTAGCATTCGTGCATCCCATTATTGGTTTGAGTGTGCACCATTAAAAATGACCACAAAGATTGGTGATGTGCACAATGAATGAGGATCCTAAGAGGATCAATGTACCATATGGCACTATCTAGGCTGTAGGCATAGAACTCCCAGTTGTTCAACCGTGAAATTAAAGTAATAATGGATAATCAATTACTTTATGGAGAAAATAAAAAGGAAAACTATCAAAATTGATGAATCATGAAATCTTAATTAGTAGTAATATTATTTTATTAGTATTATGTACTTCCTTATGAAATAAATTTATGGGTTTCATGTACTCACCCTTCCTATTTTGTGTGATGTTTTCATATAATTATGAGAAACAAGATAAATATCAAGGGCTAAGCACAGGAGACAATAGGGAAAGACTTAACTGATATTTTATGGATGGGGCTAGTAATGGAAATTTTAAGCTTCAATAATCTCTCGCACAGGAGACAATAGGGCAAGACCTAACTGATATTTTATGGATGGGGCTAGTAATGGAAATTTTAAGCCTCAATAATCTCTCCTTTGTAAGATAGTGTAGTAAAAGGAGAGCAATTGATAGTAGTTTTATAATAAGTTTTGTTGTCATATACTTGTAACTTGACTCTGTTATACAATATGAATTATATTTGGCTAAAGAGTTTGTTGAGTTATATAATGAGATTGCCTCCTGAAAGGGAGTGTAAAGTAATTTTGTGTAGTTTTTCTTCTGTCTATCATCTTTTGTTCTCTAAGTTCTTTCTTTCATCTAAATACAGTCTTTACAATCATTGGATCAAACATGAAATCTGAAAGAGACTTATAACGTGTGAGCATATATAATAAAGGACATTATAAAAAAATGAGATGAGAAACAGAAAATAAAGACTTAAGGAAACAGTAATTTCTTTCTTAACTTTTGCAGTTTAACATAAATTAATTACTAATGAATTGCAGAAGCATTGTTGTCGCAATCGAAGAAAATTTGATGGAAAGCATGAGCAACTAGCAGGATCATGCTTCACAAATAGCAAGGCCATACTTAGCAACTAGCATAGCCATGCTTAACAACAAGCACAACTATACTTAGCAACTATTCTGGAGTGCTTTGTGGATACTATTCTGGAAACTCAATATGAGAATCATTTTTATTATTTTTTATTAATACACTTATCCATAAACAAATTTTTAGCGTCGTTATAAAAAATTGTTTTATAATATTAACAAAATTCAATATTTAGTTGATTTGAATATTTTTTATTATTATTTTTCTTCCTTATTTGGCTCTTTAGGTCTTTACCTTCTATTATTTGTCTCATTCTTTTTTGTTGGGTTTTATTTGTTTGGTTTTATTTTGTTATGGAATTTTCTTTATTATATGTTTACTCATTCTGAGTTCAGTAAAAGATTTAACTAAATGCAATTTTACATAAGGACTTTTTCTTTAGATTTGTTCATTCTACATATAGTAACTTAGTTTCAAAATAAAATTGTACCAAAATACATTTAAGTGTTTCCTAAGTAAAATATATTAGATAAGATAGATAGTGTAAATATCAATTTTAATATAATAAATATTTAATATGTTTAAGTAATATTAAAATATTTCTAGTTAGATAATAAATCAATCAACTGAATCTAATCCTAATATGAATTTAGCATGTAAAAGAATAGTCAAGAGCATTAAATCTATAGTTATATATATATATATATATATATATATATAAATATATATATATATATATATATATATAATACCTTAGCTGATAAATTAATTAATTTCTTGATTTACTGTATAATGTCTTTATATAGATAATAATATAAATGTCTTACACATATATAACCTTAATTGAACTAAGATAATATAATTATTTGTAAAAATAAATCCTTAAATGAGTTTACATTAGATTTATGAAAATTATAATAAATAGTTTAGTGAGTATAAATAACTTACTCTAATAAAATCGATTATACTTTTAAAAAAATTTATTCTAATATTTTTACAAAATCAGTTAAATAAATACTAATTATATAATTAGAATATTTAAATAAGCATATTTAATTTAATAAATACTCATCCGTGTAAATATTAAACATATTTTTATCATAAATTATTTTACTTAAGCAATAACATTTTAAAAAAAATGTTTATAAGCCTCTTTAAAATAATAATAATTTATCTAATATATTTGCATATAAATTGTAAAGAAAAATATTAAAATATTTTTTTTTATTCTTCTTGATAAATCAAACTTAATTTATAAAAGCCTAAAATCATGTTTATATAATCTTAAATAAATATACTATCATTATTTTTTAACTCTCTTGTATGGGATAAATAAATAAGAATGTGACACCCTCTGTCTTCTTTTACCATTTTAAGATCTAACTGAAAAGTTCGTCCAAATGTGTGATATTTTTTTTTTAAACAATTCTCGATAGAAGAAAGAAATGAATCATGGGTATACGAACGAAAGGTAAAAAGAAAAAAAAAAGCCAAAAATTTTACTAAAATATATTATGTTTTTACTAAAATTAAAAAAATATTTTTTTAAAAATTTATTTAAAATATTTTGCAAGTTAATAAAAAAGAGAGAGAGAGATTAAAATAACAAAAAGAAAAACTTAAAAGTAGCCTTATATGTCTGCTTTTCTTTTGCTTGGTGCAGATTGCTTGCAGTCACGTGGCTAGGTCGACCGTCCCAGCAATAATTGAGAAGAAACCCCTCTGAAAATGAAACTCATAATTTGGAGTCTATATGGAAGCAAATGAGCAAAATACATAGACTCACTCACAAGGGGTCCATTATAATGACGTCTTATAAAGAATCCAAGGTCTTAATAATTCACTTCTTTCCCAACCCACGCAACTTTTATCAACTTGCAAACCCATTCATTTCATATCTAATACAAAATATCTCTGTCATTGCCGTGCTAATCTTCACTTCTTTAACTGCTACTTCCATTCCCCTCTTGCGCCAAGTGTGAAAGGGAAGTAAAAAACACAAACCAAAATTGTTCTCAACCTCTCTCATCTTTTATAGACACTAACATACATTTTTTAAATATAATTAAGCTACTTTTTAAAAGCAATTAAAACACCGTATAAGAGAAAATTAATTTACAAAATAAGCTCTTTAATATTTTAAAAAAATTAATCTTTTAATATGTATCAAAAACACGTGTTAAAAGAACATTATGTATAATCTGTTAAATGTTTTAAGTTGCTATAAATATGAATGGAATATTTTTTTATTATTTTGAGATGATAAATTTCTCATTTTTAATAAAAACTTCTTTTTTTTTAATATTTTTCATACATGTTGATAGTTTCAATGAGTGTATTAATAAGGTGTGGAAAACAAAATTTTGCTGACATTGCTCCCAGCATAAGAGGAAATCAAATAAGAATTTTCTTTCCATAATCCAATACTATTTCATTAATAAGCAAAGACTAAAGATTTATTAGCTAACGCTTATACAAAAGCCACCAAAACAGATATCATAAGCAACCATAGCTTGAGACATCCACAACAAATCAAACGGAACAATTGAATTTGCTGAAGGCAAGCCATGGCCACTTTATTTTAGAACTCTAAAAGGTGTCACACCAAAGCACACAAAACAAACACACACACTCATACAATTAACTATTGTTTCTGCCACTGACGATGGGAGTAAGGGCCATCTCTGCTTCAAGCTTTCATCTGCATCTCACTTACAGTTGCAGGGGTCGCATGTGCAGTTTGATCCACACTTGCAGCCACCATTCTCAGCAGCAACGCCCATTTCAGCACCCCCAAAGTGGGCCTTCACAGGTGCAACACCCATAACAAGAGTCTCAGTGGTTGTCTTCTCTGCATAGCTCAAGTCTGGGTACATCTTGCAGCTGTATCATAAAAGAAAAAAAGTGAGTGAGCGTGTGAAAATATGCACAAAATGGATAATTCTTGAGACACACAAAAATCAACTTTCACGCAAAAGTTTACCCCAAAATCTGAAGAACCATGCAAGGTAAAAGACAATTGACAGAAAAAATGGGTATTTCAAGGGACACGGAAGAAGGAAAAAAAAAACCCAGTATATCAAAGTATCATTTTTAGATACTAAGCTAAAAGGTATCCAGAAAGCCAATGAAAAAACCCAGAAAAATTTTCCCAGAGAAAAAAAAAAAAAAAGAACAAATTCCAAAAGAAGAATCCAACCATTAAAAGCAAGAGAACCCGTGTAGGAAGAGAAATAAAGCATAAAATTTCACACAATTAAGCCAAAAGGGTAGGCAAAAAGTTAATTAAAACCCAGAACAAACTTTCCCCCCTAAATAGGAAAATTCTGACATCCGAGAAAACAAAGAAATAGCGAAGAGGATCGAAACCCTTACCCTCCACAGCCGCTACCGCACTTGCAGCCGCTTCCACAGCCACAGTTACCACCGCAGCAAGACATTCTCAGATGCAAACAAACAGAAACTACGATGATGACGCAGAACAAACAAGGAAGTGATGACTCTACTGACTGGAACGAGTATCCGTGAAGCAACCGTGACCCTGCTTATAATGAGGCTGAGAGGTGTAAAGGTCACATCTCGAACGTCCACGTGTCATCATCACATCCCGCATCCTAAACCAATACCTGCCTTCTCTCCACGTACATTTATGTTTATCTTGAGTTTCAAAAATAAAAATAAATGGATTTTAAATAATTTTAAATTATTAAATATAATTAAAATATATATTAAAATTAAATTCAAATATTGTTTTATAATCAAATATACATCTTAATAAAGAAATACGCACGTAAAGGTTCGCCATTTAGAGAAGGTTTAATAACATTGAGTGTTACTTAACGAGTATTTGAGGAAATCTTATTTAATATGATTATGTCCTTATTAAGAGCAGTGTGCACCTTTATTTATTGCACGGAATTATTGTGAAGTGTTATCCGCTAAGTCAAAGCTTTAAAAAAAAAAAAAATATTTCATTTTTGGGATATATTTATGTCGTATGTTTCATTATTAAATTTGGTTAAAATATTAATTTCTAATATAGTATTTATAAAAAAATGGGTGTGTCTTTGTCTAAGGATCTAACATCATCATATGGATCCCCTTGTGTTGAAGCAAGAAAGCTACCAACTACAAGAAAAATCGATGCAAATCCACCTAAATATTTTTGTCCCCAATCAGATAGAACTAGATCAAATTAATCTCCTGACAGTTGCCTTCGGATTTAGTGATTTTGGCCTAAACCCGGCTGCACTCAACCCTACTACAACTCAAAATAGAAATAAATAGAGGTCAAAATTACCTATTTCCATGAATACAATCTATTTTATTATAAGTTACAATTTTCTCATGATAAAATCATAAATTATAATAGTTTGATTTAATGTTGACTCTAAGATTTTGTTTCCCTTTTCATTATTCTTGTCTTACCTCCATTTTTTATGGCTTAATATGCTACTTGAGAATGCATTTATTTTAAAGGCTTCAAAACCATTATTTCACCCTAAGTTTCCATTCCTTCCTTCTTGAACCTACCAAAGTTACTTTCCTTTGTTCTAAGCATCTAAAAACACTACTTAAACATTGTAAGGCAGCTCACTCTGCAACATACTTGTAGTCCAAATAATCTCATACAATGATGTATTTATAATAGTAGCTATTTGTACAAATCATTAGAATAATTTCATCCATCAAAGACTAAACTTTTGATAATATTCTGATCTATTTAAAAGCATTACAATAAATATGATTAAAATATTTATAGCATATAACTAACTACAAGATGAGAGTTCAATAAAATATAGAATAAATTATGCAAATAAAAATCAATTCTAATGAAAAAGTAAAATAAATTAGGTTGGTAAGTAATACTACTCCTAAAGTTTCAAATATGAGAACCGATTTTTAAAAGACTAAAAGAAAATTAAGTATTAACTAAGGCAAATTCTATATATATAAAATAATTGATAAATAAATACAATTTTCCTCATTTCTATTTTTTTATTTGTTAGTAACAATAAATATTCACCAATTTTAAGAGATCATCAAGAACCAACTCTATTGCCTATAAAAGTAGTGTTAAATGTTAGTTTGTGTACTAAAATTTTATGTTTTTTAACATATTATTTGTATTATAATTATTTATTAAAAATATGAAGTGTTTTGATTTTTTCCTTCTTAAAAATGTCCTTGGACTAGTATCTTGTTATTATATCTTATTCAGTACTATTTTTATTTAATATGCCTTTTGTGTAGAGTGAGAATAATTCAAAATTATGATTAGAAAAAAATGTAATTCATTAATATTAGATTGGTTAATTAAGTTGCTACAAAATATTATAATTTGATAATTTAATAAATTTATTAAAATTTTAGTGATTTGGGTTGTTGGTTATAAATACCTATTTTACTCGATTAAATTCATGCCTAAATTAAAAAGTTATATATTGGTTTCTATTTTTTGTTGTATATTGTATTAATTATATATGTGTTAATTTAATTTGCTTACCTTTTTTAGTATATTGTAAAGTTCATCCTTTCTGAAATGCTTAAAAACATCGTATATGTTTGAATGATATGTTATTTGTTAAAGGAGAATAAGGTCCATTGTGACACTCTCACTCTATTAGATCCCCACTTATGCAATTACTTAAAAAAATGTGTACTTAATTTCTTTCTCTCGCTTTTTTTTGTTTCAAATAGCTTATGATGTAGGAATCTTTTTTATTTTAAATTTTTATAGAACTCCATATAAATAAATATACCTTATATGTCATATTGCAGAAAGAAGTAGAAAGTTTTAAGAATACTTGGATCCATAAAACTTAATGAAATAAATGCAGCAGAATGAGAATTTTTTGCGCAATGATCTTCCTCAACCAAATCATCATATTCCTCTAATAGACATGAGTGAGAAGAGATTAAATCCTTTTAGATTTGGTACATTGAGTACTATGACCATTCTTTCTATTTTAAACCTTCCCATTATCCTATAGTGGGCCTAAACCTGATTTTCACTTATCAAATTCATATTATTTTCTATTAGTAGTCTAAAGGGATTACTAAAATTAGATAACTCATATTAAGTTCATAAAAAAGTAAATAAATTATATAAATGTTATAAATAATATTAACACACCCTTTAAAACTATAAAATTTCTATCATATAAAGCCCTTTAAATAAAAACCCAACACAAAGCAAGCATGACATGTCTTAATAATGCCTAATCAAAACCATTTTGAAATCATGAACTTAACATGCAAACTTGCATTTTTGTAGTAGAAACAACTAAACACACACAAGTATCAAACAATAACATCACGCAATTTATAATGTAAATACTTCCAACGCATAAGACTAAATAATTTATTTGTATTCAAAAATAGATATAAGACTAAGGAAAATAGAGTCACTCCTCACACGGTTGTAATTAGACCAAAATATGAATACAATAGACAATCTTCATTATTCACTCGATAAAGTTTTAATTGGTTTCATTTATAGGCTCATCTTTATTTCTAACAAACTCATCATAGGTTTAAATTTTTCGCATAGAATACTCTATTTTGACATATCTTTTTGCAAACATATTCTATATTTCTCTCAGTTATACTTGACCAAAAACATACAAGTACAAACAATAGAAAGGATAAACATACTTCTAAGTTTAGAGAACAAAGGAATCTATTATTATCAATAATCATACAATTCAAAGTACATGTACAATCCACAAAAATGTAATCATAAATATATTTAAAAAATGAAAACTACTAATAAGTTTCACCTAATAATTACGCTCCAAAACAAAAAAAAATTAGTGCATATAAGTCACACCACACACTAAAAATATAGGCAATTTTACTTTGAATCATACATGCTATAATTATCATACAGATCATATAAATAATTCACAAAAATTATATTATTCATGATCTGCTTTGAACTTATACCAATTTTTGCTTATCCTCTTAATAACTTTTTATTGATAATTTGTTAAAATATATAAAAATTGTTAAACTTTTAGGAAATAATAAAATTTAATTATATTTTTTCTTAATTTCTTTTCATAATATCTCATTTAATCTTCTCCTATTATCCCAGTAAAGGAGTCTTTTTAATATATTCTTTCTTGTATTTCTTTATTAGTCAATTTTTAGAAAGTTATATCTATCCTCTTTATAAAATATTTTATAATTTTTCTGAAGTATTTATCATATATTTTTTAAAATTTTTCATTAATATATAAAATTAGCAAAGTTTAAATTAAAATTAACTATGATAAATATTGATAGTAAAATTAAATAAAATGATATTAAACAAGGATAAATTTATCATATAACAATAATTTAAAATAAAAAAATTAATTTACCTCAACTATTTTATTAGCCTGTGTAATTTAATTTAATGCACCTTATAAATTTTGATTAGATAAAGAATTTTGACATATTGATCGCTTTAAGGACTATAATTTTTAATTAAAAAAAATACTATTTAATGATTTCTGTCTATAAATGCATACTAAATAAAATGGTCCATATATTGGAGTATATTAAGAAACCTTTTTTATTCATATAAATAGTATTCCGGTACAAGCAGAGATTGGGAATTCAAATTACATATATTAATACAACCCAAACCAAACGCAAAGCAACCATAGCTTAAGACACCCGCAACAAATCCTAGAACATTTGAATTTGATGAAGGTGAGCCATGGCGACTTTATATTCTTAAACCAAACACACAAACATACACTCCTTATTATTAAGTGTGCACTGATGATACATATATTGCTGCAATCTCTGCTTCAAGCTTTCATCTGCACCTCACTTGCAGTTGCATGGGTCGCATTTGCAGTCTGATCCACACTTACATCCACCGTTCTCAGCCTCAACACCCATTTCAGCACCCTCGAATTGGTTCTTCACTGGACCAACACCCAAAACTAGAGTTTCTGTGGTTGTCTTCTCAACATAGCTCAAGTCTGCAGAGTACTTATTGCAGCTGCGACGAAAAAGATAAACAACATATCAACGTATGGTTCTTGTAAATATGGGGAAATTAAATGTTATTTGTGCTGAAATGATCATCATTTATAGTTTTAATTGTAATAAAATTTTATTTCTATATGAAATAGATGTAATTATAATCACTCGCCAGATTAATATCATATAATTTTTATAACGTTCAACAATTAAAATTTAGTATCTTTTCAAAAGAATAATAAAAAAAAGTCGTAGTTGTTTTTAGAGTAATGATTTATTTATATATAAAATAAATCTTGAGAAATCAAAGACTGAAAAATTTTCTGAAAAATCAACATCCCAGTGAAATCACTAGAAACATGTAAAACCTATGCGAAAAAACATAAGAAAACAGAAAAGTACTATTTTGTTGTTAGACAATTTATCAAAGAGAATTTGCATAAACATAATTTAAACAGTTAAATTATTTAAAAATCCTTATCGTACAGAAAAAACGTTTACGGTACAAACAGATGCCTTTAGTGTTTCTTTTAAACGTTCATAAAACATTTTTCTAGCTTAAACTGCCACAAAATTTTCTTGCAAAGATTGAAAAAAGGAAAAGACACCGAAAGAAAAAACAAAGCCGCAGAAAGATGAATAAAGCATCGAATTTCATAAGCTTCATCCAAGAGGGTATTCAAAAAGCCAATCAAAATACCCAGAAAAAAATTGCGAGAAAAGAGGAAGGCCATGAAAGAAAGCAGAGCTTGAAAGAGAGTAGAAAGGCACCCTTAAAATCCTACGTAGAGAACAAAACAAAGCATCGAATTTCATAAAGCCCAGTCAAAAGGGTACTCGAAAATCCAATCCAAAACACCCAAAATTATTTCCACCGACAAATAAAAGAAAAATGATAAAAAGAAAACAGAGACACAGACAGAGCCTCACATAGAAACAGGATTCTAACAAATCAACCAAAAGGGCACCAACAAAGCCAATCAAAACATTCCATGAAAATAAAAAAGAAAGAAAAAATCGAAATCCAAAGCTTCTGTGTAACCAAAGAAAGATACAAAAACGCGATTCCTTACTTGCAGCCGCTGCCGCACTTGCAGCTGCTTCCACAACTACAGCTACCACTGCCACAGCCAGACATTCTCAAAATCGAATACTAGCACAACACACACAGATACGAGGCAAAGAAACGATGTTTGCTGGTTTACTTCACTCACCGGAATGAGTTTCAACGCAGAAGCTTGAGCTGTATATATAAGAGCCTGAGGAGAGAGTGTGAAATCTAGAACGTCCACGTGTCTCTATCCTGTGCCACTAGGGGCATAACTATTTTGTTAGGACTTGTTCCACGTCGACGTCGTTTTCATCATTTGTCATCTTAAATTTAAGAAACGCTAATAATTACCCTCTTTAAACATATTTTAAGAATAATTATTTTATAAAATAAGTGCTTTAATTTTTTATAAATTTTTAATTATACAAAATCTATTGAAAAATGCGCATTGCGCAATATTATTTCATTACATTTCATGCTCTCCCAAGTCAGACGTAACGTGTGACAAATATCGGGTTCATTTTATTCAAAATTTTAAATAACTATAAAATTCATAATTCATTCATTCATCATTTTCTTTATTATTTTATAAGATTTTTTTTTGGATATTTGTAAATACTTATTTTTATATTTATAAAATATATTATTTTTAAAAAATTTAAATTTTACTTTTGAAAGTTTCATTTCTTAAATTTATGATTATTAATATAACATTAATTGTATATAAGACGTATAACAAGGTAAGTCTTAGTTTGCTACACAACTATACGAGGAAAACAAGTGTGAGATATATTGTGAAAAATTGACAACTATTATGATATTTTCTTTCAACTAACCAGTATATTCACAACTATACGAGGGAAACAAGAAAATCTGAGATTGAATAGCTATTAAATACTCAAATTAGTTGAACTGATATGGTTTGCAATGTTAAGTTAAATTGAAATGACATGAATTGAACAAATTCAAGCTTATAGGTATTTGTACTCTTTTGTGATTGTATGTTAACTATCTAAAAGCTTAGATATTTCAAATCTTATTTATAATTTGAAAAATATATTCAAAGTTTATGATAAGACTACAAAAAACATCTCATATGAGTGATTATCTATGAACATTTGTCTAGGAATAAACGGTGAATAGATAATTTGATCTTCTGCAAGATCCAAGCAAGACGTTCAATTATGGAAGTGCTGAATGAGTAATAAATAATAAAAAATATTAAACATGGTACTCAAAGTATAGAGACAAAGCTTGATAAAATGTAAGCTTTTGTCAATATAATTTTACATCGTTATTATCGAGACACCAATTAAAATTATCCTCACGACTTATTTTATACAAAGACAATTTAGCATTCATATGTAGACTGGGACTTAATAATAATTAAAAATTTTATAATTGTAATTGATTAAACTTAAGCCTTGTAAATGTCTAAAGATAATATCTGAATTCATGTAAAATCATTTCGGCATATCTCATCATCATAAAATATGAGATAACTTATATAAAAATATTTAATGGTATTTTTTATCCTCGTATTTCAATTTATATGTGTGATTTTATTAATTTTAATTACTTATATTCAATTTATGTAACTTTTTTAGTTATTTAAATTAAATCTATCGCATCAAAATTTCATTCCATAATTAATATATATATATATATATATATATACATATATATATATATATATATATATACATATATATATATATATATACATATATATATATATATATTAAAAATTCGTACAAGGTAACAATATATTATATTTTTATTCATTGTTGAACAAAATTATAGGAGAAAAGACTTAATTTAATACTTGAAAAAATATTAGAACTAAATATAAGTAACTAAAATTAAAATATGAAAAAAATTTAATTAAACTTAAAAATAAAACAGTTAAGATATAGATAAAGAAGTTTAAGCAATTATGAGTTAAAATGCAAGATTTTTTAAGAAAAAAATTAAGATTTTTCTATATTAATAAATAAAATTAATTTCTTTTAAAATATAAAAATAATTAAGGTGTAACATCCCTATTTTTATTATTTATTAGTTTTGTATTTGGTATGAGTTGTTAATGTATGTTGCTTAAAATTAGAAGAGTTTTAGATGTTTAAGTTGCAAGATTTTTATCTGTAGCAAGATGTGTCTCGCTGTAGCGAGAAATCAGCCTCCAGAACTAGACATTCTGATGCTCTCGTTATAGAGAGGAGCTCTCGCTGTAGCTAGAATGACAGATAACAAAGTGTAATTTTATCTGGTTTTTTTGCTGTAGCGAGAGAAGGTCTCACTATAGCGAGAATCGCTTGCTATAGCGAGAAATCAGCCTCCAGAACCAGACATAGAGAGGAGCTCTCGCTGTAGTTAGAATGACAGACAACAAAGTGTAATTTTATCTGATTTTTTCTCTGTAGCAAGAGAAGGTCTCGCTATAGCGAGAATATCACGAGTTAAAGGGTATTTAAGGGTTTCTAAGTTAAGAAACTTTTCAAGTCACGACCCTCATATGTTCTCTCCTCATTTTCTCAGCAAATCCTTGAAAAACCTCAACTTTTCTCCGATCAAAGCTTGGAAGGTCACTTGCCTTGTTCTTTGGTAAGTTTTTAGAGCTTGGTTCTCCATTTCCTTGGTTATTTTCTTGTTCTTCTTCCTCTAAATAGAAACTCTTATGATATTTAGGAAGAACTCATCCTTTTGAGTAAGATCCCTTAAAAACCCTTTACTAAACCTTCATTTCAAGGTAAAAAGAGCTCTATTTGTTACTAAGAAAGTGGTATGCTTGTATTCATGAAGATATTGTGATGAAGTGTATGATTTTAAGTATATGCTGGATGAAAACATGTTTTTGTTATATTTGAATCCTGTTTTGTGATGTTTGATGATGTGTATGATTTTTTATTTTGACTATATATGTATGTACATGGTGGACTGAGTCCGAGGGAACTAACTATCAGCAATGATTGATTTATGTATGATATAATAATGAACTAGAGTAAAAGAAAGAGATAAAAACACGAATAATATGTTAATAAATAGATAATGAGAAATATAGAGATGAGATGGGAAATATGGAAAGAGAAATAAAATGAGAATGAAATATGATAAGGATGAGTATGGATAGTTCAGATGTACACTAAAAGTGTGGAAGATGGAGATGACTGAGAAGTCTTGGAGAAATGAGGGTAGTGGATGCTCTTCTTGAATTGCGCAAAACAAATGAGAGCAGGAGCACCATAGGCTTCACACTCGTTTCCTGACTAATACTCCTGACCATGCTTTTGCTAAAAGGAGCCGGGTCGGCACATGTTGTATCCGTGTAGTTGTGGCTATCCAGCGACTATCTATGCTAAGGAAGACCTCGAGGGATCCCAAGGGCAGTGAAATGTGAAAAGGAAAGTATTAGTAGTAATGAACTTAAGTAGAATAAATTAGGGTATTAATAATCTTGTATGATGCTTGTATGATTGCTTTATCTGTATTATTGAATTATTGTGATTGTATGTTTAGTAATGAAAATAGAGACTCATCCTTACATAACCATTTCAGGAAATCAGGATGACAACATCCTTCGAGAGGATTAGATTAGTAGATAGTTTTGTAAATAATAGGTTAAATTATGTATTTAATGAGCACCAGCGACTTTGTTTCTTTAGGATTGTTGTATATGAAAGTGATGTACCTAGTGACATTATTGTGATAGAAATAAAATTAGCTTATAGTATTCCTTTTGATTTCCCTATAAGTAGAATCCATCATACCCTTTATGTATATATCTTTTCCGGCACCGTAAGGACCCCAACAGCTTTGACGTATTTGTTCATGTACCGTGACCATGATTATCTTGGAAGACCATCTCATTGGAGGTTTGAGCGGATTATTGTTACCCAGGTTACTGCGGACCTTGGTGACGTATATCTCGGATCAGATGACAACTTTGATTCTGAAGATATTGCGATGATAGAGTGATGACATGAGGATGACTAGTGTCTCTTTGGTCACATGATGGATAGGCTGCTCAGTAGGACTCATTATGTTTTGTATTTTGTAAATGTTGGAAATGAAATCCTAATGTATTTTATTGTATTTTAATGAATATTTTGTAAACATTAACATTATGTATATTATGAGAACAATGTATGTTCATATATTTTAATGCTTCTTCTTCAGATTATGTTTAATCATTATTGATTCGTTATTCAAAGTTTTGTACAATTGAGCAAAATGAATGGAATATATAATAATTTTATTGCTATATTTAACCGGTAACTAAAAAGTTATCTCATTTTCCATTTAATTACGAAATTTTACTATTATTGTATTACATAAAATTAGGATGTTACATAAGGCAAACTTTATTCATTTTAATAACATTACTTTTCTAAGTACTAAAATTTTAACATTTTCTAAAATATAATAACTGAGATTTTATTATTTTAAAAATAATTGCAAACTTTTTTACAATATTTTTATACTAATTCTCCCACTCATCAAATGAATTTTTTTAAATAATTTTATATTTTAAATATTAAATGTAATAATATTTTTATTTAAGTAGAATGAAATAATAAAATTTATAAAAAAATATAACATTATTTTTATTTTAATATTTTAAAAATAATAAACAGAAAATAACAGCTTATTATTTATTCATATATATTAAATATTTTTAATTTTTTAATGCACTCTTATTTCTATCTCATTTATAATAAAAGTGTGAAATATTTGAATATTAAGATAAAATGAGGATATAATTAAAAATATAGTAATTAATATTATTGAAAATTTTGAAATAAATACATTTTTCTTAAAATTAAATTTGATAAATTAGAAAAAACATGTGACATATTATCCTATTTAACCTGTATAACTTTATTCATTTAAAAAGAATCAACACTTCAATGGTAGAATAAAGTCTCAAGCACATTTTCATAAAACTTTAAATATATATTATTTCTAATTTTCATAAAACTCAACAACTAAATGTCACATCCTCTTTTTGAGAAAGTTATGTGACACACTGTTTAATTAAATCTTGCATAAAATTTTTTGGCATTTTAAAAAGAATCAGGATTTAACTTAGATGAATTAACAGAAAATAAAAAAAGATAATCATTTCATTGATAAAATAGGATTTCAAGGCATAATCATAAAATTATATATATATATATATATATATATA